CCAGAGGAACTGGTTGGCCACTGTGTGAGACAGGAGGCTGGACTAGATGGGCCACTGGTCTGATCCAGCAGGGCTCTTCTTATGTTCTTACGAAGGCCTCGGCCTCTGTGCCCTGTTGTTGGCCCTCCAGAGGAACTGGTTGGCCACTGTGTGAGACAGGAGGCTGGACTAGATGGACCACTGGTCTGATCCAGCAGGGCTCTTCTTATGTTCTTATGAAGGCCTTGGCCTCTGTGCCCTGTTGTTGGCCCTCCAGAGGAACTGGTTGGCCACTGTGTGAGACAGGAGGCTGGACTAGATGGGCCACTGGTCTGATCCAGCAGGGCTCTTCTTATGTTCTTACGAAGGCCTCGGCCTCTGTGCCCTGTTGTTGGCCCTCCAAAGGAACTGGTTGGCCACTGTGTGAGACAGGAGGCTGGACTAGATGGGCCACTGGTCTGATCCAGCAGGGCTCTTCTTATGTTCTTACGAAGGCCTCGGCCTCTGTGCCCTGTTGTTGGCCCTCCAAAGGAACTGGTTGGCCACTGTGTGAGACAGGAGGCTGGACTAGATGGGCCACTGGTCTGATCCAGCAGGGCTCTTCTTATGTTCTTACGAAGGCCTCGGCCTCTGTGCCCTGTTGTTGGCCCTCCAGAGGAACGGGTTGGCCACTGTGTGATACAGGATGCTGGACTAGATGGACCACTGGTCTGGTCCAGCAGGGCTCTTCTTATATTCTTATGAAGGCCTCGGCCTCCATGCCCTGTTGTTGGCCCTCTGGAGGAACCCGTTGGCCGCTGTGTGAGACGGGATGCTGGACTAGATGGATCACTGGTCTGATCCAGCAGGGCTCTTCTTACATTGTTATCAGTTCCCCCCGCACATGGAAATCCAAAAGCAGCTCGAAGATTTCAGGCCCACTGAAGAACGAGACCGACCGCAAATATGCTCCATTTATTCTTACCCAGGGCCGTGACCCCTCGGTCACCCTCCTGTTCGATCCCCGTAAACAGCACTTTCTGTCGGGTGTCCGATGGAGACTCCTCTGCCTCAGGAAATTTGGTGGTCAGCTCTGTTGACTTCTCCTGTACCTGAAACAGAAGTGGGGATTCCAGGCAGGGAATGGGGAAGCAGGTTACAAAAAGAATCGTGCAGGAAAACACTAGGGGTGTTCTTGAGACATTTGAATTTTTAGCACACTTTTCATTTCAAGCTTATGTCCCTGGAACGACCTACGTGAAGCTCTCTCACCTGCTGGTCCTGATTCTTCTCCTCTGCCTGGCTGAGGAGGAAGCCTTCTGCCAGGGCCACCGCCTGGGAACTGGTCTCCGGCCCGCACTCCCTCACCCAGCTCTGCATCTCCGGGGGCAGGACGGCCAGGAACTGCTCCAGGACCACCAGGTCCAGCATCTCCTTCTTGGTATGCCTTTCTGGATTCAGCCACCGACTGCAAAAAGCGTGGAGTCGGCTGCAGACCTCCCGGGGCCCCTCCGCCTCCTGGTAGCCGGACTGCCGGAACAGCTGGCGCTGCACATCTGGACTGATGGCCTCTTCTCCTAGAACCTTCAGCGTCTTCTGCACATTTCCCCTCGACAACTCCTGATTGTTCCCAACCCTGCGGGCATCAGAGCCTTTCCTTTCTTGGCGGTCAGCTGACTCCTGCTCTCCCATCTTCACTCCTTCCTTCAGCACAGGCACCCATAAAGGATGTGCCTTCCTCTTCTGCTGATTTTTCTTCTTCAGGCAATGGGCTACCCCAGTCGGCAGGGACGTTAACTTGTGCATTGCCAATACACTGTGAGCCAATCACTACATTCTTGAGGCAGGAAAGTAAGTTACAGACCAAAGGGTGAGCTCCCTGCTAGAGGCTAGGTCTTCTCTCTGGAATAAATAGAAGTAAATGGCAATGTTCAGAAGGAAAGGGGTGGGGCGAGGGAGAGGAGGAAAGGCTCTGCCTGGAAGCTACAGACCAAAGTCTTCTTCATACATGTGGGTGGGTGCCACCCGTCAGTGGTAGAGCATCTGCTTTGTATACAGATGGTCCCAGGCTCTGCGTTTCCAGCTAAAATGATCAAGTAGTGGGTGATGTGAAAGATCTCTGCCAGATCAGAGGTCCATGAGTGGCAATTAGCCAGAAGAAGAGGAGGAGGAGGAGACTGGATTTATACCCCGCCCTGCCACAGGAAGTGGTGGCAGCTACAAGCATGGACGGCTTCAAAAGGGAATTAGACAGGCATATGGAGCAGAGGTCCATCAGTGGCTGTTAGCCACAAGGCATAGATAGGGGCTCTGGGGCAAGGGATGCTCTGTCTTCTTGGTGCTGGGGGGGGGTCAACAGTGGGAGGGCTTCTAATGTCCTGGCCCCACTGGTGGACCTCCTGATGGCACCTGGTATTTTTGGCCACTGTGTGACACAGAGTGTTGGACTGGATGGGCCTTTGGCCTGATCCAACATTGGCGTCTCTTATGTTCTTAAGTTCTTCACTACCCGAAGGAGTCTCAGAGCGGCTTGCAATCTCCTTTCCCTTCCCCTCCCCACAACAGACACCCTGTGAGGTAGGTGGGGCTGAGAGCGCTCTCTTAGGAACTGGCCTTGAGAGAACAGCTCTGAAAGAACCTATGACTGACCCAAGGTCTCACCAGCAGCTGCATGTGGAGGAGTGAGGAATCAAACCCAGTTCTCCCAGATTGGAGTCCGTGCTCCTAACCAAGATATAGATGGGACTCTCTGCCTGGGGCAGTGAGAGGGTTGTTTGTTTTTTTGGGGGTTTGGGGGGGGGGGGTGCACAGTGGGAGGTCTTCTGGAGTTCTGGCCCCGATGGCCGACCTCCTGATGGCCCCTGGGTTTTGGCCACTGTGTGACACAGAAGAGTGCTGGACTGGATGGGCAGCTTTGTTTAGGAGGGGCCGTGGCTCAGTGGTAGAGCACCTGCCTTGTGTACAGGTCACAGTTTCTGTCCCTGGCGTCGCCAGTTACAAAGAGGTCAGGTGATGTGAAAAACCTTTGCCAGAGACCCTGGAGAGCTCCTGCGAGTCAGAGAAAATGTCTGACTGAGAGGCCCACAGCTGGATTCCGCAAAAGGCAGCTGCATCTCTTCATCTGGTTGGTGGTTATGAAATGCAGCCACCTCACCAACTATCTGTCTCCCTGCTCCCCACTCTCCCCACCTTTAGTTGAGTCCCTGGGCACACAAAAGCTGCTTCTTCCATCTCTTTCCTCCCCTCAAAGCCCCCAAGGGTCAAACCCCCTCTGCTCAATTCCTCCCCCGGCTATTACATTTTACAAATGCCAGTTCAAAACTGATCTAAACAACAGCGTCCTGAATTACGGCTGTGCCACAGGGATCTCCTGGTTTAGCACAGAGAAGGAGCAAAGTGCCCTTAGGTGGGTGTTACGGGACAATCCAAGATGGGTCAGCTATACAAGGTCCCCTTTCTTTTCTTTTTTCTAGGCCCCCGGAGGGGATTTTTAAATTTTTTATAATACTACATCAACTACAAAGAAACGAAGGAAGGAGGGACTACAACTAGGGAGAAAGAAAAGTAACCCACACTAAACTAAAAACCCAAGAGCAGGAGATCATTACCAGTGTTCCCTCTAAGCTGAGTTAGTGTGAGCTAGCCCACAGTTTTTTAGCCTCCGACTCATGCATTTTTGTCTTAGCTCAGGAAGGAGGACTCCAGAGCAAAGTAATGTATGCAGCAGCCAAATTGCTCACTCACAACTTTAATGCCAGTAGCTCACCAAGTAGAATTTTTGCGCACAAGACTCCACAGCTTAGAGGGAACATTGATCATTACCCTGTTAAGCTGCAGTTAGTAATAAAGAAAAGGCTGTTAATAAACAATATACTTTGTGAGATCCTGTCTTTCTAAGCTTATGTGTTGGTTTATGACTTGTTATGAGAAACAAGTTCCCCTTTCGAGGGTAAAATGGGGCAGGGGAGAGAGCTCTCACGAACACATGAAGCTGCTTTATTCTGGGCCAGACCAATGATCTGTCAAGGTGAGTCTTGTCTACTCTGAGTGACAGCATCTAGGGTTGCCAGGTGCCCCATGGCGAACGGCGGGGGATGGGGGGTAGGGTTGCCAGGTCCAGGCTGGGAAACTCCTGGAAATTTGGGGGTGGCGCCTGGGGAGGCCAGGGACCTCAGTGGGGTACGATGCCACAGAGTCCACCCTCAAAAGCCTCCATTTCCTCCAGGGGAACTGACCTCTGTACTCTAGAGATGAGCTGTAATTCTAGGGGATCCCCAGGTCCCACCTGGAAGCCGGTTTCCCCAGCAGCCTCTCAGGTGGCTATCTTTTATATCACCTAATGCATGGCCCTTTTTAAACTGGAGATGCCATGGACCGAACCTGTGAACTTTCTGCACGCTATGCAAATGTTCTAACTAAATATTCTGCCAGGAGGAGCTGTGGCTCACTGGCAGAGCATCTGTTTGGCATGCAGAAAGTCCAAGGTTCAGTCCCCAGTATCTCCGGTTAAAAGATCTGGCAGAAGGTGATGTGAATGACCTGTGCCTGAGACGTTGGAGAGCTGCCGCCAGTCTGAGTAGGCAATACTGACCTTGATGGACCAGTGGTCTGATTCCGTTTAAGGCAGCTTCATGTGGACCTCTATGCCAAGGCCCCCTCCCTAAATGAAAATGCCTTTTCATGAGTTCTGCGCTCGAGCGTGTCCAGAAGAGGGCAACCAGGATGGCGAGAGGGTTGGAACCCAAGTCTTACAAGGAAAGGCTGAAAGGGTTGGGTATGTTTAGCCTGGGAAAGAGAAGGCTTAGAGGGGACATGATTGCAGTCTTCAAGTATTTGAAGGGCTGTCATGCAGAAGAGGGAGCGGATCTATTCTCTCTTGCTCCGGATTGCAAGACTAGATCGAATGGGTGGAAATGACAAGGGAGTCGATACCGGCTAAATATCAGGAGAAACTTCCTAACTGTAAGAGTGGTTGAGCAGTGGAACAGACTGCCTCGGGAGGTGGTGGATGCTCCTTCGCTGGACGTTTCCAAGCGGAGGCTGGACGACCATCTTTCGGGTATGTTGTAGGGCTGTCTTTCGGCTATGCTCCTGCGGAGTGCAGGGGGTTGGACTAGAGGACCTGCAAGGTCCCTTCCAACTCTAACGTTCTATGATTCTAAGCCTGGGATGATATAGGATGTATGGCTTGGCATGGGTAAAGGAAGTGGTTTCAGAGTCTCTCTTGCCTGGACACCTTGTAGAAATGGCAGGAACAAATGCCCCCTTGAGAAAGGGGGGGGGGACCCAGGCTGTCCCCTGCTCATCTCCCCTACCTGGAATGGAGGCAAAGCAGCCGTTTTCACACCTCCTAAAGGACAGGGAATCAACAGCATCTTTCCACTGCCTTTTGGTAAGAGAAAGGAGGGTGTTTCTTGTGACTTCCTATTCCATTTGTTTGCTAGTTCCCTGCTTCGTGCCCCCTTTCCCAGGAGTCTGGGTCAGCCTCATCCTTTCAACTGGAAATGCTGGGGCGTGAACCTGGGAGCTTCTGCCTTGTCCACTCTAACTGCCAGTGGATCTCCAGACAGAGGTCTTTTGCATCACCTATTACCTGACCTTTTTAACTGGAGAGGTGGGGAATCAAACCAGGGACCTGCAGTATAGGCAAAGCAGATGCTCTCTCGCTGAGCCACAGCACTTCCCTCAATGCGGCCCCTTTCTCCTCAGGCTATCAAGGTCTAGATCATCTTCTCTGACAGGCAGCGGCTCTCAGGGATCTGTCACGTCACCTCATCTGCCGTCTAAGTGTTGCGACTGGACATGACAGGGATTGGTCCTGCTCAGCAGATCCTCCGCCACTCATCCAAAGCCTGTTCCCAGCCCAGTCCCTGCCGTTTGTTTCCGTTAACAACTCAACTGTGGGGCTTGAAGCGGACTTTCTCTCAGTGCAAAGGTTTCCCCCCCCCCCCACGCTCCTCACTTTCTCCACCTCGGAACTGGAGCTCCCGCCAGGCAAGGATCAACTCACCAGAACGCCTCCTGGGGCTCATGGGATGGTTTTGCCTTTGGTGTGGAAGCTAAAGGTGGGGAAGGGATGGAACAGGAAGTAATCCCAGCTTCCAGAATGCCCCTCTAGGAATCCACACCTCCTTCCTTTAACCCTGAACCTGACTCCTTCGAGAGAACAAAGGCACCAGGCTTCTCTCCATCGTGTTCCAGGCCTCCACAGTCCTCTCTTTTCTAAACTGATTAGGAGACGGCCTACAATGCAAGGCTGTTGTAAGCAATGTTCCCTCTAAACTGTGGGGTCCTGTGAGCAAAACTTCTACTTGGTGATCTACGGGCATTAAAGTTGTGAGCGAGTGATTTGGCTGCTGCATAAATCAGCTTGCTCTGGAGCCCTCCTTCCTGAGCGAAGAGAAGAATGTGTGAGCCGGAGGCTAAAAAACGGTGAGCTAGCTCACGCTAACTCAGCTTAGAGGGAACACGGGTTGTAAGCCACGCTCTCTGTTTCCTTGAGCTCATGCAATATGCAGGCTGGACCGCAGGGACAAAGAATGCAAAAGAGAGCGAGAACTCCGCAGCCACCCACACTCCGTTTGCAAGCGGTGGGGGGGGGGGCTATCTGCTTTTGCACCGCTGCTCGGAAGATTTTTTCCTCCCCCTCCCACCCGGGGGGGGGGATGGAGGCCCCAAGAAAGGCCCATAGCTCATTCTGGCCGCCTCCTTTAGCGTGCAGTTTTGATTCTGCGCCGCTGCTTGCATCGATCGAGCTCCAAAGGACAGCCACCAAAGTGTGCAAAATTGCATTTTTCAAAACGTTG